ATCCACCTCCTGATTTGACTTTTCAAATGCCCTCTTCACCAGCCTCCCCAGCTCCACCATCCACAAGATCCAGCTGATCCCAACCTCTGCCAGCCGCATACTTACATTAGAATAATTAGAATATACAGCACAGAAACAGGCCATTCGGCCCAACTAGTCTATGCTGGAGTTTATGCTCCACATGAGCCTCCTCCTGCCCTTCCTGAACTAAGCCTTCTAGCATACCTGCACTAAACTCTGCATCCCCATCACACCAGTTCTAGCCAGGCTCCATTTGCTCCCTATCACCGAACAGATTGATTTCAAGATCCTCACACTTGTTTTCAAATTCCTTCATACCCTGGCACCTCCCTACCTTTCCGATCTGCTTACCCACACCTACTACCCACTGACTCTGCTCAACTGACTCCGGCCTCCTGCGTAACCCTCATGCCCTCCATTATTTTACCAAGCTTCTTCATACTTTCCTTTATTAAGCATTGGGTGAAACATTTGCTTAGTATGTTTTGCACCAATGAAAACAATAAAATACAATGTAATGTGAGTCAACATGGATCAGTAGAATACAATACAATTATGTCAGGAGGACATCTCAAAAAGAGTATAGACTTTTCAAAATGAACTGGTTGTAATAATCTTTGCATTCGACATAGTACCTTATCATGTTGTCAAGAAGTCAAAATGCATTTCACAGGATTTTATTGTAATGTATAGTAATTGTGTATTGGTAGGCAAACACGGCAGCCAATTTGTGCAAAGCAATGTTCCACCAACAGCCATGTATCAAAAGTCACATGACACTATTTGAAAAGAGAAGGGAACTTCTCCAGGTGTCCTGACCAACAATCCCCCAGATCAAATAGGTCACTCACTTCATATTTGTGGGAGATTGCTATGCACATGTTGGCTGCTGTATAGTGAACCCTTTAAGGCACCCTCGTGGGAGTATCTGAGCACCTGAAATAGCTTTATCTGAATCTGATCAATCTGCAGCTGCACTCTTGATGTGACAGGCTAGTTATATCAACTGCCAGGATTATAATCATATAATAAACCTTGCATAGTACCTTATCGCTACATTGAGACATCTCAAAGTGCTTCACAGAATATATAACAATCAGGTTCCTACTTATTGCGAGATAAACAGAGGCGTGTGGAGTAAGGAAACTTGACTCACTACGCTACGAGATTATTATTGTTCCCAACAGAAATCAAAGAGATTCCTTTCAGTTATTTTGTCCCATTTAATGGAGTTTGATTCAAAGTTTCACAATGCTTTATTCTTGGCTGTTCCAGGAATTGGACATGGCTCCCGTACATATAACTGTAGGGGAATTCTCACTTTGCCAATGATTCAGTAAGTACCTGTGGTCAAAGGTAAAAACTGTTACTTCTTTTTTGATTACTATAGTTCTGTGTTTTCTGAAACACCACAACATTTTTTTACTTGCAACGTCAAGCAAAGGTAGCTCTTCTGGTGAAATTGTGGTTTGATTGAATAGTGGTAACTAACAGTAAAGCAGCTCAGGGGAAGTTTAAGAGGAAGTTTATCGCTTTGATGGGCCAAGAGGCCAAACATGCAAAAGCCTGATTTTGGCATCTGATACGGCAGAATTAGCACTTCTGTTTCATTAGAGTTGGTAATAAAATAATGAATCAAAATGGTCTCTAGTTTTAGGTTTTATGTCATGGTCTTCCCAGGGTCTAATTTGCAAGTCTTTCAACTGAACCCCTTTTAACACAATATACAACAGTAGTGAAGACAGATTCCTTCTTATTTATCTAGAAATGTAAAAGACATGAACTCACTTCCTGTAGACCATGGTTTCCGTACTGATAACTTAGTTCTCTTTTACTTGAATGTTATTTTACGTCCTTGTATTTTCTCAGAATAAATTTAAATCCAGCTCAGCCAGGGGAGCAAACCAAAATGAACAACAACAACAACTTTCACTGATTTAGCGCCCTCCACTCAGGGTAGCGTCTCAGAGCGCTAAACATTGGCATGGTCTGACTCCGAGCCAGGACGGTGGGGGAGGTGGCTGTAAGCACGGTCGAAGAGGAAGATTTTCAGGCGGGATTTGATAACGGTGAGAGAGTGGGAAAGGTGGAGGGATTGAAGGCGAGTATTTCAGAGTTTCAGGGCATAGTGGATGAAAGCAGGAGCTCTGATGCTGGGGCCTAGGGTGCGAGGGATGAGCAGGAGGCTGGTGCCAGTCGAGTGGAGGCACTGGGTGGTGTATTGGGGAGTGAGGAGGTCAGAGAGTTAGGGAGGTGAAGGGATTTGAACACAAGTGTGAGGATCTTGAAGTTGATCCGTTCGGTGATGGGAGCCAGTGGATCCTGACCTGAACTGGTGAGATGTGGGTACAGAGTTTGGTCAGGGTAAAGTAAAACCCCAATGTCTAAGTGATGTATTGGAGCTGCAGTTAGTGTGTTACACATCCATCCATTCATTGTTCAAACTATAACTATTCGTGAGACATTGATGCGTGTAAATTGACTGCCGTGTTTGATTACAGACATACATTTGTAATTTGTAGACGAACTGCTTAGATAGAAATGGGTCAAGCACACTGATGTAAGAACAAATATCACTAACCAGTCCGTTCTTCTGTTCATACTCCACACGAGTCTTCACCCATTTGTTTCTCTGTCCCATACCCTTCTATTCCTCTCTCCCTCATATCAAGGTCTAGCTTCCTCTTGGATGCATCTACGTTATCTGATTCAACTTCTAATTCAGGCAGCGAGTTCCAAAATCTCACTACCTTTTGCATTAAGTAGGTAAACCAGTTGTTGGCAGACTGAGACAGGACTATTTCTGAGCATTATGAAGACAGAAGCCAATAGATATTTATAGAGACAAACTGGATTAGTATGAGGACACACAGGAAGAGATAAATGTAGAGTGGAAAGAAAGGATGTGCAGTTGTGCAGTGGTACAACAGAAGCTTCAACATCTCCAACAGTTGTGGTTTCGAATCCAGCAGAGTCAGCTAAAAATGGACAAAACAAATTGGTGGGTGTTCAAAACAATAGCTTACTATCTGGACACCCATAGGAACTCAGGACATATTCCTTTGCAGCTTCGTAACGTGATGCAGGATCCACATCCCAAATGTTGTGGAGAACTTTCGTTATCACTTATTATTATTATCATTATGTGGGTGTATTTGAGCACCTGAAATAGCTTTATCTGAATGTGGTCAATCTGCAACTGCACGAAACAACAAATAGCAGCTCTCAGTGCAGGTCTATAATGAACAACAAGTTGACTGAACCACATACAGGCTGTGTTAAACCAACGTCCTATCTATGTATTCAGCTGGTCAACAACAACAACAACAAAAACAAAATTACATTTATAGAGCGCCTTTCACATCAGGAGGACGTCCCAAAGCCTGAACAATCAGGGGTCGGGGCCCGAGATTGGGGGAGGGGTGGTGTAGGTGTGAGGGAAGGCAGAGAGGTGGGAGGGTGACCAAAGGCACGATTGAAGAGTAGGGTCTTGAGACCGACTTTGAAGGAGACAAGGGAGGAAGCAAGGCAAAGGGACTGTGGGATGGAGTTCCAGAGTGTGGAGGCAGAGAGGATGAAAGACCGGCCACTGATGGTAGGGTGGGTCAGACGAGAGGCATGGAGCAGGCCGGAGCCGCTGAACGGAGGGAGCGGGCGGATTGGTAGGGAGTCAGCAGGTCAGAGAGGTAAGAGGGGGAAAGGCCCTAAAGGTGAGGACGAGGATCTTGAACACTAAAGATCCTAGGGATAAGATTTGAAATGCTTTGTGAATAGAGTAAACCTAGACCTAGGCAGAATTCCTTTGAGATGAGATGAGACACTGAGAATCCATTTGCCGGTTCAAGTGGATGTTTACTACTGTTACTATTCAAGAAGAGTAGGGATTTCTCCCAGAATCAACAATCTTCCAAATAAAAAAATGGTCATTCACGTCATGGCTATTTGTGGGATATTGCTGTGGGCAAATTGGCTCCCGCACTCTCCCAGAAATACAAAGCCACTACACTTTGCGGAAAACTTTGTGAAGCTCTTGAAAATGTCTTGACCTGATGAGGCATCATATTAAATGCAAGGATTATTTTATTATTGTTAAAATTGGTTGTTCACTTCGGGGCTGTTTGTGGGAAATTGCGGTGTGCAAATACGGCTACAAATATATACTCAGCTCACCTAATAGCAATTTATCTGTGAAGCACTTTGATACGTTTTAACATTCATATATCAAATGCAATGATTATTGTTAAAACATTACATGAAAAGCGATCTATCCAAACTGCAATTGGGAAAATATCAGACAACGGATATAAGTGGCCCATGTTAATAAACTATACTCAGAAAATAGCAATTTCACAGCTAGCATACGTCAACAAAATGCGAGACACTGTCTTGTTTGAAACACATTGCGATATCAAAATGAACCACAATGAAAGTACCCTTCCCCCCCACAGTCTCCTTCCTGTCTCCTCCAGTTCTGCAAAACGAGCTCATGAAATGCCAAACCCTTTCTTTTCTTCATCACATATAAACACAGGAGGCTAATTGGCAAAAGAAAAAGTTTGGAAAGCCTTCTTCCCAGTAAAGGCAGATGGTACGCAATCCTGATAACGTTCAGGAGATTTGTCAATTGAGGGAAGGTGTAACAATTAATGCACAGTACTCAATTTTTTAAAAAAATAATGTAGACGATGAGTGAAAAGTAGCTCATGTATTTTTAACTTGAGCTCTTGACGTCAGATGTGAAGTGTCCAATATCCTTTGTGTGTGTGTGTGGGGGGGGTCTTTCAGCTTTTGCAAAACTGATAGTTTCCTGCAATTTGCTGCATTTTATCGCAACCTGTGACCAGAAATGAAAATATCTGTGGTTTTCCTCCCTTTAAGTCATTGAAATTAAGGGTGGGCCCAACACCTAACACCCAATAGGCTTTTAAGAAGTAAAACGAGTTTCAACCCAACCTTTTTAAAGCGAATATTACCAATACCTTAAACTGTGCATTTGCTTTTGACAGACCGTGTGATATTTTCAGGATATAGTAGTTTGCTGAACAGTCAGAGAGCGACAGAGAGAGCTATGCAAACAGTACTTTTCCTCTTTCCACAGCTAAACCTGTCAGCTCCTAAAGAAGAACCTTACTGTAGGATAATGCAACCTGACGTGAATCAAGTGGAGAGGAGAGAGATCAAAACCAGGTAAGTGTCCTGGAAAGATGCTTTTTGATGCCCAATAACTAGGAGAAGCTAAGATTTTTAAAAACTCGTTGCTCACTAGAAGCTTGAGTTAAATAGACTGTCTCAAATGCAACAAAAAACACTGTTAAATATAATTGTGTGTTTAAACTGAAAGTCAATCGTGCCTGGTTTTAGAACAGTAGTTAGTTGCTTTTTATCGTTAAATACAATAAAAAGCAATAAATTGACAGTGAGATGATGTTTTAATATTCATTCAGAAAGGATAAAGTGCAATTGCTATATTAAAAGCTGTCGTTTTTTCTATGTTTAAAGAGGATGTTTTTGTTAGTTATCCTCATAACTGAAGCTGGGCTCGAAATCTCTGCTGTTCTAGCCTCTGAATCCAACTTGTCAGTCAGGGCAATTTGTGCAAAAATGGGTTTGACAGTCAAGTGTAAAGTGGACAATTAGACCATCACTTCAGGGCAAATATTAGTCACCATAGATCCAAATCCGTATTCAATCTTAGATAATTGCACATGTCTCTTTCGTATCCTTTTTATAGTGCTGGGATCTTTATTGTTGATTTTTGAAAGCAGCACTTTTTTTTTAACATGATAATCCCTTCTGTATCTTACTCTGGAGGAGGAAACCTTCCTATTGTGTAAAAGACTGGCTAAAAATACATGTAGGTGACAATGTTCTCAAAGACTTTATTTCATGGCTGTTTGTGGGACATTCTGTGAAGCGCTTTGAGACATCTCGAAGATAAGGCACTATATCAAATGCAAGAATTATTATTATTGCTGTGCACAAATTGGCTGCTGCATCCCCACACAAAATACACAGTATTATATCTTGCAAAGGACTTTGAGATGTCCTCCTGTGAAAAGTGATGTATCAAATGTGAAGATTATAATTATTTTTATAGATTGTGAGATGCCACGTTCTGCATGAACAGTATATTTTCTAACACGTTTATGAACTTTGCAATCTGCAGACTGAAGAATAAAAGGAATCGGCTAAGCCTCCTGTTGCAGAAAGCGGAATCCAATGAAATCTTCAGTCCATTCCCCAGCAAATCAGAAAAGCCAAAGTATGTGTCACGGATACATTGCATTTATGAAAAATAATGGGGGATAAGATTGTCATTTGAATTGAAATGCAGTGGATGAGGGAGGGAAAGGGATGGATACACGAGGGAGAAGGGAATAGAGGGGTAAGGGAAAGGGGTTTAGTACGGTCGGAAGTTCACGTGGAATATAAACACTGGCATGGACTTGTTGGGCCGATGGCCTGTTTCCGTGCTGTGAAGCAATATGTAATTCACTAATATTTGGAATGTTTTAAAAAAAATTACTGATCAACAGTGAAAATAGCCAACTTGTTGTTATTATTATTATGAAGTGTGCAAGAAGATGAGGATGTCCTGTGCTTGTAGTTGCTTTAAAAGGGCTGACATTTTGCTCTTGTGCATTGAGAACCAAAATCTTTGTATCATTCATCTTTGTATATAAGACAGATTCAGATTTCTGGTTAAAAAAAATAAAAAAGTTATGAGACTATCTTTTCTTGGAACTTGTCAAATAGTCCACAATTGCTTTTTTTCAGTTTTGTACATTCCAATCCTCTTCTAAGAATCTTGGAATGCATTTGAGTCAGATACTTCTGTTCTGTTATATAATTTAGTACCCAGCCACAGTTGATCAATGCCACTAGCGTGTGTGGTTTTTTTGCTGTTTCAAGAAAACGTTTCTACTGGCACGCTAAGCATACAGCCTGTTTCCGTGTGGTGTCAGTCAGATTTGAATACAAGAGGTTCAATAGTAGAAAATACAATGAAAAGGTCTTTATCGTTTTTTACAGAAAGATAGCTAAAATATCTTAATGTTTACTGGCTCCCTGTTCCACTGTGAGGCATATGTGATGGCAGCTAGAGTGATTAAATAGTCTTGCCCTCAAATTTGTGTGCTGTAAACAAAACAAGTGCAGAAAACAAATGTCCGGGCATCTGATATGTTCTTGTGCAAAATGACTTACTGTGGTTGCAGTGGCCAGAAGCATACTGGTGTGAGTTAGCATTGCGGTTTGTAAAACTCTTATGAATTTTCCATTGAATCAATAAGTCAAACAAAAGTAATGCTCAGCGTAACAATAGAATACATTTCATTTATATGTATATATGAATTACAATACTATTTAAAAATGTCATTGATCTCTTAATGTGATTCGGAGTTATAAAGAAGCTACAATTTTTTTTCCCCCAGTTCATCCTATGACGAGCCTATAAAATGGACCGAATCTCTAGACAAGCTACTAGGATATAAAAGTAAGTGGCCCTTCAAGTGCTTTATTTTAATTAAATATTTCTGGTGAGAAAAGAAATCAGCAAACTGTTTCCCCAGTGACAGACATTTCTACAGCTACCAGTTTGATGATTACAGTTCAGATCTTTCAAATTCTCCATCAATGTGTAGTTCAGCTCTCTGAGACTCTACTCTGTGAGAAATTGTTATATAATTGCAAACTGTTGTTGGTGTAATTCTCAGATTATTGTTGTGTTTACAGTATGTTGTATATAATAATCTTACATAAAAGTACAGTGGCATGCAGTCATAATTGTATTGTGGTGTGTGTAGACATACAGTTTGTATGTTTGTATTGCCATTGTGGTAAACTTATTGAGTTAATCCTCTCTTTTTCTCCTAAAGATGGCTTGAATATCTTCAGAGCTTTCCTGCAGTCAGAGTACAGTGACGAGAACCTCGAGTTCTGGCTGGCCTGTGAGGATTACAAGAAAACTAAGTCGCCTGCAAAACGTGCCTCCAAAGCCAAGAAGATCTACTCTGAATTCATAGAAACAGATGCCGCTAAAGAGGTATGAGCTTGAATACTCTTTGAGCTAGTCCAAAATCTTTCTTGCAATAAATACTAACCAAATTTATTTTATTTTATATATATAATATATGTTGGTATGTGTGTGTGTGAATATTCAAATAGCCATTCCGAAGCTGGCCATTCAATAAACCCCCTGTTATATTAGCATGTCCTGTTGGTCTCAGGTGCATTGCTATGGCCAGTTGCTAGGAACTAGCCCATAGGGAGCTAATGACCATTATATCTTCATGTACCTCAGGTTTCAGAGCAGGATTGGCGTGGCCTCAAGTGGTTCGGTCACTTCGCCTATGGTGTAGAGATCCTCCCCCCACCAAAAAAATCTCGCTCCAACTTTTGTACGGAACAAAATGACCTTGTAATGACTCCCGACAGGCCAACAAGTTAATCCAGGGAGAAGCTGAGTCATACAGACTTGGAGATCTTGCGTTTATCTGTAGTTTGTGCAGTTAGCTGAGCTCAGTTTAATCAATACTTGCGGCAACATTTAGCCTTAGCTAGATGGGTAGTGACAACCTTAGATAGTTGGGTAGGAGAAAATCTGTCAAGGGTTCTGCCTCTGGTTGCCTGACATCTACTGCCTGCTGGGAGTAAGGCCTCAGGATAAGGACTTGTTTGACTTTGTTAGCACTAGTTGCCTGCTGACAATTGGGGAAACTGACGAGGTGCACAAATGCGGAACGGCAACTTGAATGAGGTACCAGAGGATGATTTTACTTGAAGGAGAAAGGAGATGTGGAGGAAAAGAGCAGAAATTGAGGTTTGAGAAAGGCAGTTTTAGGTTAAACCTGGCTTGGAGCGGTGAGACATTCGTTGAAAAACAGAAGTTGCAAACAACAGGAAATTGTAGCATGTTGTGGTGAAGACTGCGTCTGAGTCTGATGAAGGAAGGTTTCATGCAGTTCTTGTAACTTGGCATTATTTCTATTGTTTTAAGCAGAATCATTCTGTACGCCTGATCTATAACTGGTTATAAATGTAAACTTGACCAGGTTTTTAAGTGCTCTGAGATGCTATCCTACATGGTGAGCGCTATATAAGTGCAAGCTGTAGTTGTTTTAGTAAACGGTAGCATTTTGACATGTGGAATGGGGGTAGAGTATTTGAATCCAGGTCAGGAGTGTGCAATCTGTTACGTCTATTGGAATGATTCAAATAAGTAAGTTTTTTTTTCTCTTTTCCAAACAGGTGAATGTTGATTTTCATACCAAAGAGGTGACTAAGAAGAGTATTTCGCAACCCACGCTCTCCTGTTTCGACTCTGCACAGAAAACAGTGTACAACCTGATGGAGAAGGACTCTTATCCCAGATTCCTTAGATCTGAGCTATACCTGAAGTTGTTAAAGCAGGTGCAATTTGGCAGCCTCGCTCCCAGACAGCGATCCCAATCCTTCACATCATCAACAAGTCTCCTCGAGACCCAGACAGACTTCACCATCTGGCTTTAAAAGAATGGAAATATAAGAACGGACCTTATTTATGGCTGTGTCCCTGTGGACTCTTTTAGTGTTGAGCACAGTTTCCCAAATAAAGTATTTTTCACTTGCAGATGAACGTTCAGGAGCTGAGTTATATGCTGGATCGAAAAGACATTTTTAAGCCTACAATCAAATCTGTATGATATATAAACTTTAAATTAACCTAGTTGATGAGGCTTTGCCGTTTTAACCTGTTGTAAATGAAAACCTCTGTATGTATAAGTTATTGTGTTTTGTCATATTTAATATTGATGTACTTGTACCGCTTCATATTTGTGGATCCAGTTTTTTTCATGATACAAGTCTAACTTGCATTGCCCTCAGGAGAGAATCAATACTTTAGTTTCATTTATTTTTCAATAAACAGCAAGAACATTTTTGATAACCTCTGTGTCCTGCGAGTCAATTCTGGAAATGTCCTTTGTGCCATTATTGATATGCCAGTGACTCCAATTAAAGTGCGTGTGTGCAGGTGTATGTTGGGGTGGGGGGTGCTCATTGATCGAAGGCAGAATTGGTACTTGGTAGCAACAACCTCTATGAGCAAGACACTCATTGTGTAGGCTTATGATTGCAGAGTGGCCACTTGGGTGAAGTGCCGGATGCTTACTATCACCCATGGAAGTGCAGTGCTTGGAAAAGAGGAGAGTAGGAATCATGCGGAGGGGAGGTTTGGGGAGGAAGTAGAAATAGAAGAACAGGGACCTTGCACTTCTAACCAGTTGAAAATGTTCTGAACACATTCTCATGAAGATGATATCAATTTCACGTCCTGCCTGTCGTCCTGCCTCAAAGGCCAGCATGTTTGAATCTCCACCGGAGCACTATCAATTTGAGATAACAAATCTGTGCCCCTGTGACTTCAAACGCAACAATTTTGAAAGTTAAATCATTTCAGGACTTTTTGAACAGTGCTTTACTGAAACCTGGGATGCATTGTTGCCAACCATAAAGATTGACAAGATTTTAAGCATAAATAGCATTTTTTATTTTCCATTCAAATGATTAAATAGCTGTCAGCAATAAGAAATTCTATTTAAGGAGCAGCCAGATTAATGAGGTATAATTGTGTGTGACAACCTGCTTTGCCTGCGTCTCCAGAAAATGTGGCTTTTTTTAAATTGAATTGTGCGTGAAGTTCCATGTGAACTTGATATCAAAAAGAAAAATAGGCCTGAGGATAGGAAACTGTCCTGCAATTTGTCCGCCACAGTGGAGCGCGATGTTGGCATCAATTTCTTTCCTATGGCATTGTGTTTGTTTCTATTGCTTCTGACAACTGATTGACCTACAATTAACATGCCACAGACCTAGCTAGTGCTGAAAGAATGGCATGTTCCAAATCTACCAGCCCTCGATCTGTTAAATCAGAGGTCAAGTCGATTTTTAGTATATCGTTTTGTTCCTGTGATGTGATTTATTTAAGGTGCGGAGTGATAGATTAGTTTAATATCCAAAAATTGTAAATAGTTCCAAACTATTAATTGGGTTTACAAAGAGTCCGCTACAGAGCTTAATAGTGCAAGTCACCAGTATTGCTAAGGAATCTATTGTTCTAAGCACACAAATGTCAGAAAGAACTGATGGGCTCTTATTTCCATTGCATTCCGAGCACCCAATCTCCCACCCGATTGCCCTGAAACTTCATCCTTTCAAAAAGTAGTGGAGAACAGTATTGGGTGGGACTGAACCCATAGTTTGGTGTCCAGTAGGACAATTTACCGAGAAGAAACAGATATAGAGGAAGCGATTTCATAGCGAGGAGATAGTCCAGAATTGCTGAACAATTTTTAAATTCTCCTCTACAGATATCGTTGTCATAAGATGTTGAATATTGAAGGAAATCAGTTTGAAGGAAAATTATAGCATTTCGATTTTCTTTTGAGAATAGTATGAATTTACAAAGTCTTGATGGTTTTGTAACATTGAATTGCAGGTTTTCGAATGTAATTATATAAGGAATGGATTGAAGATAGATAACTCCAAATGGGCACATGCAAGATGTCTCCTTCTGCGCTACAAACTTCTATGATACTAAGTAAAGGATACCTCTCTGAATCATCGATCAAACGTGTGAAAAGTTCTGGTAGGAGTCCTTAATAAGGAAGTGTGACCTCACTTTCAGGTAAGGATTTTTGGACACGACCTGTGTGGCACTATTTATTTTTTGTGTCTGGAGAATGCAACAGGTAGCAGTGAGACAACCTGACACCAACCATCTAAGCCATGCAGCAATGTTGGAGCAACAGCCACTGCAGGACACAGTTTGGAAGCTGCAATGGACCTAGCAGATAAGAGATGTAATAAATAATGTTCTGAAAACCTACTGACCTTTTCGTGTTTTGCTTCACTCTGCAAGCCACAATGCGAGTTTGGAATCATCGCCTTAGGTTGTGTGGGAGGAGAGCCGAGCTCAAGCTAGGCCGCCCAACTGAAACTCAAGACCACAACCAAATCTTTCAACTGAGCTGCATGGCCTCAGTTTCAACCTCAAGTTTATGATCATCAGTATTTTCCTTTCAGTAGAAAACCATGCACATTTCACTGTGCTCATTGTAATCCTTATTAGTGAAGCAAATGTTACATGGCAATTTATACATCAACATCCACATATGCCTCTCCGTCAAATGTCACTCTGTGTCCAATGCCAGCTCTTGACAGGATCGGTTTGTGATCGTATTTTGAATTAACTAAGGGATCCTGCAGAAGGACCCCAGTGGCTTTTCTGCTGCCATAGATTCCAATCATAGATCATAGAATTATACAGCACAGAAGGAGGCCATTCAGCCTATTGTATCTGTAGCAGCTCTTTTAAAAGAGCTATCCAAATCAATCCCACTTCCTCACTCTCTCCCCATAGCCCTGCAAACTTGTCCTCCCCAAATAATTATCCAATGTTCCTGTTCGTTTGAAACATTTTAATTGCAATGCAATTTCATAGGTCATGGAGGCTTATCCATTTGAGGCATTCTGACCATACAAGTGTTTCATGACCGTGGGTTACAGTTTAGTCCCTACGAAAAAAGCAAATTCTTCCATAAAAATCTACAAGTTAAAGTAGAATTCTAGCATCCAGCTAACATCAAATTTGAGTCATGCAGAGGAACAGGGTGAAAGGAGAGATGTGGGTCAGTGCCAAAAGCCACGTTTTAAATGACCAACCAGAGACATACATGAATAAAGTTTACGTCCATGTTGAATTTGATCTTACATCAGCTCCAGTGAACGATCTCCAGGGCCAGAGAAAAGCTTTTTCAACTGAATCATTTAACATTTAACCAGGATTATGCTTATTTCAAATGCATGCTTCTCACCCTGATCTTGTTTTCAGATTACAAGCAGGGTTTACCCAGTGCATAACGGCACTGAGAGAGTTGTATACCTGAAGATTAGCTTTCAGAAATGTCATCAGCTCAAAATATTCACATCACAGCACATTTTCACAATGCTCTGAGAGATGTGCATCTCTTATCCTCTTTAAATGATCAGCTTGAAAATCCAATCTGGTTAAATTATTAACTGCAGACTTGCATTGATGGTTGCTGTTTTGAGTCTATAATATGATGCCACCTTGTGGAACAGCCAAAGCATCTATAAAACCGACTGCATAATAAGTCTGAGGCATTGCCCCCACCATTGTTTAGCTGCTTTGAACAGAATAAGTCAGATTTTACCGCAAAAAATTAACAAAATTTCCTGAAACCCAGAAAGTGAACTAAAATTACATAGAATGCTACAGCACAGAAAAAGTGCCATTCCACCCAACAGGTCCGTGTCGGTGATTATATTCTACATGAGTCTTTTGAAGATTAAGGTTTTTATAAATGTAATATTTAAATTTATAAAATTTGCTCCCGAGATGCTGTCCCGAGATGTGACGAGCGCAATATAAATGCAAGTTGTTTTTTTTTAATACAACATCGAATGTCTTGCTCACAAAATGGCTATTCAGTCTGAAACCATAGCAACATTTAAAAGAGAATGGAATAAATATTTGAAGAAGAATATGACGTTGGAATGGAATGAAGTTAGCTCCAGCGGAAGAGCTACTGTTTTATATTATTAATATTAATAATCATAATAATCCTTGCATTTGATACAGACGTTTCACCTCGGGAGGATGTCTCAAAATGCTTCGCTGGATCTATTGTGAAGTGTAAGGACTGTGTATGTTTTCGGCAAATGTGGCAACCAACTTGCGGACATCAGCAACAACAACAACAAGATTCCATTTATTGAGCACCTTTCACGTCGGGAGGACGTCCCAAGGCTCTGTACAGTTGGGTCAGGACCCGAGCAGGGGGGAAATGGTCAGGGTGAGGGGAGGGAAGGGAGGGAGCGAGGAGGGGGTAGAGAGTCGAGATGGGAGCTGAAGGCACGGTCAAAGAGAAAGGTCTTGAGACCGGCCTTGAAGGAGGAAAGGGAGGAAGCGGCGAAGGCACTGGGGGATAGAGTTCCAGAGCCTCGGGGCTGAGAGGCTGAAGGCCCGGCCACCGATAGTAGGGCAGTTGGGGCGGGGGATGTGGAGCAGACCGGAGCCAGAGGAACGGAGGGTACGGGGGGGTAGGTAGGGGGATAGTAGGTCAGAGAGGTAGGAGGGAGCAAGGCCGTGAATGGCCTTGTAGGTGAGGGTGAGGATCTTGAATTCGATCCTCTGGGGATGGGGAGCCAGTGGAGGCGAGCGAGGGTGGGAGTGATGTGGTCACGAAGCCTGGTGCGGGATAGTACACGAGCTGCAGAGTTCTGAATGATCTGCAGCTTGTGGAGGGAGGTGGCGGGAAGGCCGGCGAGGAGAGAGTTCCCATAGTCCAGCCTTGAGGTGATAAACGCATGGACCAGAGTTTCAGCAGCGTGAGGGGTGAGGTAGTGCCGTAGTCTGGTGACATTCCGGAGGTGATGGAAGGCGGTGCCAGTTGTGGTGCGGATATGGGGGAGAAAGGACAGCTCAGGGTCGAACAGAACCCCGAGGTTCCTGACCGGCTTTGAGAGGTGGAGAGTGCAGCCTTGGATGCTGATGCTGTCAGCGCGAGGTGCGGAGGCGCTGACGCGAGCCAATCAGGAGGGCCTCAGTTTTGCGTACGTTGAGCTGGAGAAAGTTATCTCTCGTTCAGGACTCGATGTCGGACAGGCAGGCTGTCAGGACATCGGTGGACATCAATGTCCTGCAAACAGCCATGAAGTGAAATCAAAGAATAAGGTCTTATAATACATTCTTACAAAAAGCAAACTTCAGGTGGTGTGCAAAAATAAAATGACACAAAATGGATTATCAGAAAAGGAACTGACTGACAGATTGCAGATGTTCTGTAAAAGAAAGAGTCTTGATTGCTTGAATGGTCCTTCCTCATCACATACCTTCTTGTATAGAAGTGAAATGTTTC